CTGAGCCTAGCCTATGATAAACTTACGAGGCCTGATCCTGGCTTATAACCTACTATAGGCGATTTTTTTTTGGTATGGCCTGACCTGAAAGCCTATTTAAAAGCTCGTTTCTCATTAATGTTTTCAATAAATCCATATTACTTAAGAAGCTTTATACGTCGGCCTATTATGCATATATAGAACGATCTATTTAGCATTTTTTTTCAATATATATACACACACACACACACACATATATATATATATATATATATATATATATATATATATATATATATATATATATATATATATATATATATATATATATATATATATATATATATATATATATATATATATATATATATATATATATATATATATATATATATATATATATATATATATATATATATATATATATATATATATATATATATATATATATATATATATATATATATATATATATATATATATATATATATATATATATATATATATATATATATATATATATATGTCATCCTATTTAGCCTTTTTTCTAATATACATGCTATGCCATTCCTTTATCCAATGCGTTCACTCAATCAACCAACAAGATTATGCACTACATGCTCTACTGATGTGATGTTTCAACATCTAGTAGGACATCAATTCCCTTTCCAATGAACATATAATTGAGCTTGGTTCTGAACCCATTACTTATCCTAGTAAATCAGAACATACCTTGATTACCTTCAAGAAAAGGATGAGAACCTTTCACTGAAGATGAATTTTCTTATACACGAAAGGTACACATACACATGTATCCAATCACCAGGAAATTCCATTGAATAGGACATAAAACCTATATAGACCAAGTTCTTTGAGGTTTTCCACCTGTTTGATGATGTACTCTCTAGAGAAACATCTTCACTACATCTTTTATGACCATTAGGTAAGAGGATATACAATTAAATACTGGAATCACAATTAGCAACAATTCTTAAATCCTCCTTCAACTTCCAATCATAATAGTTATCTTATCCCTAGAGGGTAGATACTTCTTCATTCATTTAAGCTATGAGACCAGAAATAAATCACCTTCTGATTTTTCAATAGAAGTCTATCTTCAAGCCAAACCAGTAATACCAAAATCATGATCACTTTTATGATTAAGCCAAGAACTAGGAAGACCCGTGCAAATGTAATTGATCAAGACATTCAAACCATTCTTTTCACTACCAAAATTGAACATCCTTCCAAAAATATACTAAGAGATCCTCTATCACAGACCAGAAAACCATCTTTTATAGAGTAGGAATAAAAAAAACTTGCTCTTGTCTTTCTTCAATGATCTGTCACATTCATGTCAAACTCCTTGAATATATATATATATATATATATATATATATATATATATATATATATATATATATATATATATATATATATATATATATATATATATATATATATATATATAATATATATATATATATATTATATATATATATATATATATATATATATATATATATATATATATATATATATATATATATATATATATATATATAATATATATATATATATATATATATATATATATATATATATATATATACCAGATCCTCTCCGTCTTGATCAACTCTTCTTTATAACTCTTTTCATTAAAAACATTTAGAAGCGCCTTTATAAGTGGACTTGAGAGAGACTTCAAGTATCTTTGAAACTTTAACATACTGGTTGAAGCTATCACCCAAGTAACACAACATCATAGGACAAAACTTAGGAGGAAACCATATCATAATACTCATCCCTTAATTGTATTCCTAGAACAGATCTTTCTGAAACCTCAACACCAAAGACACAAAGAACTACCAGAGGTTTTACATCAGATACACATGCAGTGGAACACAAATAAAAAACATCCTCAACAACCTTCAGCCAGGATGTCAGAACATCTTATGAGACACCAATCATCAAAAAATCATCTAAGGTAGTTATGCTGGAGTCAAAAAGCTAACACCCTAGCTTTCAATACATGTGATCCTATCAGTTATGGTTAGGAAAGATCACACATCCTTCTTCCTTGTCAACAACACCAGAAAGTATCTTTCATGAGTCTCACCCAGATACAAAATATGATGCTTGTTCTTATACCAATTGAAATTCTGGTATTCAGATCTCAGATGTCCTAAGAGATGTCAAGACACTGATTTTTGAACATAAACACAATGACAAGGTAAGGCAATTAAACAATGCAAAAAAAAAAGGAATACACAGAATTGTTAATCCAGTTCGGTGTACAACAACACCTACATCTGGGGGCTGCCAAGCCAGTAAGGAAATTCACTAAATAATATCAATTTGTAGCTAAATTCCCCCGCTTACAACTTTTCACTTAATCACTACCCGTGCTATACTTCTATTTAAGACACACCTACGTATGGGACCCCTCTCACTTCCCCTCAATCACACAATCTATTATAAAACAACAAGACATCAAGAAGGAGACACACTCCAATAAACAAATCCAATCTTTCTTAAAAGCTTATGCGTGATTCATAATTACAACTCAACTAACAGTCCAACTCAATCAAACAATACAAGAGTGGCTATCAATGAACAATGAACAGGCGAAGCCCTAATATTGACACTTTTACATATGTGGCTCGTATCTTCTTTAGGTTTAGAGTCTTCTATTTATAACCTTTTTCTGAACCGAATTTGTACTTAAAAATACAGCTAGGCAGCTGTTATAATTCTTCATAAACTTCTGCATAAAAGTAGGGCTTCAGTAATATGTTTCCTAAAATGCCTCAACATTTAGAACAACAAATTAATCTTCTAAATTCAAATAGAATCTTTGCCTCCTCAGTCTTGGACGTCACATAGGGTAGCATAATATTCCTAGAATATTATGCATTTGTAACAAACAAACATAATAGGACATCTTATTCAAGATGTTTTCTCTGCAAGTTAGAACATCATACTTAACATCTTGCTGCCAAATTAGTTTTACCAAAATTAATGTTAATCATAAAACAAAGAATTAACATACGGGAAGACGAATGCAGAGATGTATGAGCCCTATAATAGGTGCATGCAATGATCGATCTTTTCCCCTTTGAATCAAGGCTTGCTGTGCAACTCTTCCGTGCCTCATTTTATCAGGGTTATCAGCCATAATACATATATGTAAACCACACAAGCTTTATACATATGAAGCAAAATGAAACACACCGAGGTCAAGCAAAAATACTTAAATTGATATGTTTCGGAGATGCCTCTCCCGATTCTGAAAATTAAAACATTGGAAGATTCTTAGGATGCATCTTCGTAAGATTCTGCAACTCAAATGGACGTTAATGGCATAAATGGTGTCCATGCTAACATCCAAAATAATCATTAAAACTATCTATCAAACATATTACTCGTGTAAATGATATATCTAAACTACCTATTACATAATAACCTAATGTTCAATTTCTACAAATGTATATAGAAATAAAAAAGTTTAGAAAAATCAAAAGCTTACCAAATGTAAGTTTAAATTAATGTTGAGTTAGCTCTTTGATCGATTGAATGTTCATGCCATAAAATTTGAAGTGATTTAAATGAATTTGATAATGAGTTCCCTCTTTTAAAAAAAATACAGTTTGACATGACATCTGATTTTATGTTAAAAAAATGGGTTAAATATATTTTTGGTCCCTATAAATTATCAAAAAAAAATTTTAGTTCCTATAAAAAAATATGACATGTTTTAGTCCCTACAAAATTATTATGCACGTAGTTTTAGTCCATGTTGTTAAATCAATGTGTATTTTTGAATGATTATTTCGCAGATATGTTTAGAACGTTATAAAAAGTTCTTCGAAATAAAAGGAGCTGAAAATTTAATTTCTAAGTCGAGATTTTTATTAATTTTATTAATATCTTTTGAAATTTAAAAATTTATATTTAGTTCTTCTCATATTTAAATATTCTAAAATTTGATTAAAAAAACCATTTTATAATATTTTAAATACGTATAAAAAAATTTTTAAAAATTTAAAAGTTTAAAAATAATTAAATAATTTTTAAAATGTTAGAAAATAATATGGACTAAAACAGCATGAATAGAAATTTTATAGGAACTAAAATTTATTATTTTTTAATAAAGATTAAAAATAAAATTTATAAAATTTATAAAAATCAAAAACATAGTTAATCAAAAAAAATTAATCAAGTCAAATATAAAAAATATATAAAAGTTTATCTAATATGATCCGTCAAAGATATTTTTGAGGCGGACCTTTAACTTTTTAAATAAAAAAAGATGAATCTTTTTGTTATAATAAAAGGATTATTAGATATTAATTAGTACAATTTACTAATATTGATAAACATAAAAATATATAAAGTTTATCTAATATGATATGTCAAAAATATTTTTGAGGTGGACCTTTAACTTTATAAATAAAAAAGACGAATCTTTTAATTTTAATAAATTAATTATTAGATATTATTAGTACAATTTACTAATATTGATAAACATAAAATGAAAGTTTATCTAATATGATATGTCAAAAATATTTTTGAGGTGGCCTTTAACTTTATAAATAAGAAAGAAGAAAGATGAATCTTTTAATTATGATAAAAGGATTATTAGATTACTATTAGTACAATTTACTAATATTAGACTCAACTAAATATAAACATGATTCATTGCAAAGTTGGCTCTCCGCAGTATTGAATCATATATTAACCTTTAATCATGTTAGAGAGAGGGGGCAATTGGCAGATTATAATGAAGAGAAAAAACGTTTGTATGGTTTAAAAATTTTATAATCTCAGCCAACAGAGTAAAATAACAATAGTACTATTATGAAAAATAGTGCTACTTGCAAGTAGAATTTGTTTGATTTATTTAATAAATAACGAGTGGAGATAAGACTTGATAGATATAAAACTTGAAAACATCTCCAATTCATTGAGTATATATATACTTGTTTCCAATAACCCAAAAAATCAAACAAAAATCTCCTATGGCAACAAAACCTTGTATTTCAAGTTATAAATCCTCCAAAGGCACAAACGGTAACTTTTTGTACATTCCAAACCAAATTCCTATACCAACCTATGTTCGCATATTGGACACCACCCTCCGCGACGGTGAACAATCCCCCGGGGCCGCGATGACTTGTAAGGAGAAACTCGATATCGCACGCCTACTGGTAAAGTTGCACGTTGATGTCATTGAGGCAGGGTTTCCTTCTGCTTCCAATGACGACTTCACTGCGGTTAAAATGATAGCTGAAGATGTTGGCAACGATGTTGATAATGATGGTTATGTTCCTGTTATAGGTGGTATGTGTAGGTGCAATGAGAAGGACGTTGCCATTGCATGGGAAGCTGTAAAACATGCAAAAAGACCAAGAATATGTACTTTTATAGCCACTAGTCCCATTCACATGGAGTACAAACTTAAAAAGACCAAAGATCAGGTACTCAAGATTGCTCGTGATACAGTGAAGTTTGCACGAAGTTTAGGGTGTTGTGACATTCAATTTGGTGCCGAAGATGCTCTCAGGTTACAATTACTCATTCATAAAGCTAATAACTATACATATGTCATATAGTATTAGGAATTGTGTTGTTAACATTTATTTTTATTACTGCTCTTCTACCTTCTAAAAGGTAATATTTTAGTTATAAATAAAATTAAAAAACGATAGAAATAAAAGAGTTTTACAGTTATGGAATGATAGAACCATTCCTAAAGTCTAATGATTAAAACAATTGAAATTTTTTGAATTTCAACATTCCTAAAGGCCAACAATTAATAGAACAAAAATGTTAACATCATACTAGGTCAAAAAATTAATGGAAAAGTAATATATGTAACTAGAATAGAAAAAAAAAACACAAACACACAAATAATGATAAGACAAAAATATTATAGCTAATAAATTAGAATTGTCTTTGAAAACATGCAAGGCGATCTACAACGCAGCGTTTCATTATAGTAAAAATGTCTCTATAGACATATTTCACGATTAGTTTACAATTAAATAGGAATGTCTCTATAGACATATTTCACGATTAGTTTACAATTAAATAGGATTTTTTTTAAAAATTCACGACTCAACTGAAATTAACTTCAATTACACACGTCTCTCAAAAATTTGAGACGATTCTTCAACAAACCTAACTAAATGACAAACAACAAGAAGTTAAACATCCCTTAAGATTCAGGTTAGAGTTCTTACTATCAGAATCACTATCATCATATCATAATCCACCAACCGAACAAAAGCATCATATATTAGAATCTATCTCAGAACTAAGATAAACACTTAATTCTCTATAAGTTTAATGAAAAGGATAGAACTCTGAAGTCAATCAGAATACGTGCATGTGTTCACCTCCGATTTACCGATAATCGTTTATAAGCCAAAAATGTTATCTTCTCCTCCAACTTTTTTATAATTTTTATAACACCTTTATAACTGTTAGAAGATAAAGAATGCTCTGCATTCAACAATCTACACTCTGTGTAGATTCTGTAATTTCAAAAGTTAGTTCTTTTACAGCAGAAGATAAGAACTATATACTATTTTTTACAAGTGGACCAATCTAACAACCTTCGCAACTAACTCCACCAATTGCTAACAGCCTAACAGATTCTCAACAGAAAACCAATTACAAAAAATACAGCTGGACTTATACACCTATTTTAATATATATCTAATACTCCCCCTCAAGATCAAGATGGTGGCAGCAATACAACTTTGAGCTTGTCCCTAAATTGTTGAAAAACAACAGTTAGAAGGGGCTTGGTCAAAATATCTGCTAATTGAGCAGCAACTGGAACATGTTGAATCTTGAGCTTGTTGGCCATAACTTTTTCCCTTACAAAGTGAAGATTCAATTTAATATGTTTGATTTTGTTGGCTCCTAAATTCGACACCTTTGTTTTGATTGATGGCAGCCATTAAAAGCTGAAAGATGCTTTCGACTGGCTAAGCCTGTCGAAGTGCCCGTCGAAAGATGGCAAAATACTTAGAAGATTTCTTCCAAGGAAGAAGGCTGATTGCCTTCGACGTCGAAGGAGTTTTCGTCGAAGACGTCTCTTGATGAAAGTGTTCGATGGTCCAGAGTGGAGCAGTTTGAAATTCAAAGCTTTGGAGGGAAAACGGTTTCCAGCAGTTACTACGTGCAAACGTGCAAGGATCTGGAGCGTCGAGCATGGAGAACGTGCCAAGTGGCTTAATCTCGAAGCAGTGTAACTGCCCGACGGTTACTTGGATTGTTTTTGTATAAATAGGAGTAGATATGTAGTTTCTCGCGTGTGTTCACAATAAATACATAGTCACTCATTTAGATTCAAGTACCCAGTGTGAGCGAACGAATTGTTGAGAAATGTATGTGTGAAACACCAATTTTATCAATTAAAGTCATTTACTTTTCCAGTATTTTACATGCTTTTACCCTTTAAATTCCTGTCGAACCTTTACATTCAAGCCTTGTTTATTTTACCAAGCCTTTCCTTTATGCAATTTACTTTAAACAATTTACTTAAAGCCTTATCCAACTTAATCAAACTTCAAAATCAACCTATGTCCATAGGATCAATCTGATCGATCCTGCGAGTAACCAAATAAGTAACCATTTGGAGGATCAGCGGTTGTTTACCAAAACCCTAGGTAAACAAATTGGCACACCCGGTGGGACTGTGTGTTGATTGTTGAAAAATAATCTCATCTTTTCGAGTTGTATGTTATTGAGGAGTGGTAGAATATACACCAACGATAACAATACTGCCAGAAGAAGGGAAGAGATGGCGAATCCGCCAAACAACAATGAAATTCCACAAACAAGTGTGGGAGCAACGGTTAGTATGACCGTAAGTGAAGCGACGAATGTTGGTTCGACACCAGCAGTGTCAGTCACAACCACGGGGCCAATAACTTCGTTAACAGGCCCCAGAATGCCTTTGGGAACCCCCCCACCAAGGGGAAATATTGGCACAAGGCCAGTGGTTCCCCCAGGATTTATTCCATTCTATGGTATGCCAACTTCTGAAGTGGCAAGCCTGACGAATGCTGCGTCCACTTATTCAGACCCTTTCGTGAGTGCTTCTTCGCCACTCCAAGGCTCTGGAGTAGGCATGGCGAATAGAAATAGGACCCAACTCTTAGGAGGAACGTCCCAAGTAGCCCATGGCCTTACAAATGCCTCGACAGCAGTCTTGAGGCAACAGATGGACGAAAGCAACCATGATATGGTGCAAATGTTGGCACAAACTTTGAGTACAGTGCTAAATCCTCTAATACAAAATACTACTCAATCGAATCAGCAAGTTACAGCGCAAATGACGCGTTTGGCTGACTTCTTTGGAGTACCCCCACCTATTCGACAGCCCCAAAGGGCGCAAATAAGAGGAAATCAGGGGATATTTGTAGAGGAAGAAACCACCATTAATCAGGCTCAACAGCCTGTAGAACAACCTGTCGAAGAACCTAGGGTAATAGCCCCAGAGGTAAGGTTAGTTAACAGAAACCAAAATGCTGACGAAGTGGTTCAGCATGTCCAATACCAAAACATGGGCTTGGAAAACAATCTGGCAACCATGATCGAAAGAATCATGAATCAGAATGGGATGAACATGGGCTTTCGAAGGCCCAACTTTACATCTCCATTGTCAGAATATGTGTTACAAACTGACTTGCCTCCTAGAAGCAAAGTCCCCAAATTTACTAAGTTCTCTGGGGACACGACAGAATCTACTGTCGAACACGTGGCAAGGTATTTGATCGAAGCAGGAGACATTTCAAATAATGAAAACCTAAGGATCAAATACTTCCCAAGTTCCTTAACCAAGAACGCTTTTACTTGGTTCACAACTCTACCCCCCAATTCGATCCACCATTGGACCCAGTTGGAAAGATTGTTCCATGAACAATTCTATATGGGGCAAACCAAGATAAGCCTGAAAGAACTGGCGAGTGTTAAGAGACGTTTCACTGAACCTATAGACGAATATCTGAATAGGTTTAGGTTGCTTAAGGCGAGATGTTTTACACAAGTGCCAGAACATGAGCTGGTCGAAATGGCCGCAGGTGGTTTAGATTATTCCATTAGGAAGAAGCTAGATACCCAGTACCTAAGAGACATGGCCCAACTGGCCGATAGAGTTCGACAAGTCGAACGCCTTAAAGCTGAAAAAGCTAAGGCAACAAAAACTCACAAAAGAGAGAGAATAGCGTACGTTGAGATGGATGACGAAGATCTAGAATCCTTCGACGATACTTTAGCTGTCGAAGAAGGAGAAGTCGATTTAGCAGAACTAAAACAAGGGCCACCATACTCTTGTAAACAATTAGTCCCCTCAAATGGGAAAAATCCCATTGGTCCAGACAGGACCAACGATAGGTTCCCAAAAAAGACTTATAGTTTTGACATCACAAAATGTGATGAAATATTCGACTTGCTAGTTAAAGATGGCCAAATGATAGTACCCCCTGGGGTAAAAGTTCCTCCTCTTGATCAAAGAAAGAAGAGAGGTTTTTGCAAATATCATAATTTTTTGGGCCATAAAACTTCTCAATGTTTTCTTTTCAGGAATCTTGTGCAAGACGCTATTGAGGAAGGGAGATTAAAGTTTGCTGACAAATCCCCCATGGCTGTCGACTCCAATCCACTGAAAGCTGAAGCCCATTATGCAGAACCCTCTGAGGTAAACATGATAGAGGCAACCAGGATCCAGCCGAAGAAGCCAGGCATTAACATGGTCGAAGTCTCAAAGGACCACATTAACATGCCAATCTTTGGCAGTTTTTCTGGAAATTTATCCAGGAAGACAATTGAGGCTGTCCAGAAAGCGGTCGAAGACCCAAAGTCGAAGACTGCTGAAGCACAAAAAACTGGACCAAAACCCAGTTCCCACTTGGCCATTGTACAAGGCCAGACGGAGAATCTGGAGACACAAATGAAGCAACTAACTCTTGCTAATAAGGATACAATGAATATCAACATGGTTGAACTTTCTGACCCTAAGGCATCAGAAGAAGCCATAAGGCAAGAGCAGGCGAATAAAACGGCTTTCCCTAGGGAAAACGAAAACTTGGCAGATTTTTTACAAAGATGCCAGAAGAAGAAATCAGAGGTTATGCTGTGTCCAAGATGCAGTTCTATCTTTGATAAAAAAGCTGCTGAGCACATACAAGGCGTGAGAGCAGCGAACAAGAGAAGGGAGAATGCTGACCTTCGACATGATCCCAGAAGGGGTTCTAATCAAGACAAGAGGCCATTGACTTTTAGGCCTCCAACAAATGTACCAGTAGACACTTGGTACAAAACATCTGGCCGGAAAAGGCCAAGTGAAGAGAAATGGCATTCTTTCGATGTGCCAAGAGGTTCCTCTTTAATCCAGAAGAAAGAGCCTCCAGTTGCTGCACCCAAGGTTGCTCAAGTGTCCAGCAACTACAAGGGAAAAAATCCTATGTCGAGATCCCAATGGAGGAGATATCAAAGAAGGCGAAAAGCTGAAAGGGAAGCTGCCAACGAACCTAAGGCTGAGACTAGTTCGAATGTGCCTCAAAGGAAACAAAGAAAGCCTCTTGAGAGAGAACCAGTT